TCACTGGGCAGCCAGCCTTCGGGCGATGAAGGGGTGGAGTTCGGAGTTGGTAATGCGGCGCATCCGGCTCGCGGTCCGCCTCCTGACCTTCTCCTCGTAGCCCTGCAGCGCCGATGCCCTGACCTCGAGCACGGTCGCGATGGGAGCAACTCCGGTTAGCCGCGACCCGTCCCACCGGATAAAGAACTCGCGGGCGTCCCTTGGGGTGGCGAAGTTCACGAGCGCATGCCCCTTAGTGGTTCTAGAGTCGAAGTCAGTCGGCTGGTAGACACAGTCGTAGACGTTCGCGAAGCTGGTCTGGTCGATGAGGTCCAGCAGGTCACTCTGCGTCACAACCATCGGAGTGTTTTTGATCATGGGCGAGGTAATGGCTGGAGCTACTGGGGTGACGGTCGGGGCCTCCTCGGTCGGCGCTGGCACTCTGCCCGCGAGCGCACGCCAAGAAAGCTCCCGGTTCACCAGGTCGGCCTCCTGCTCGCTGATTCTCCACCTGATCTCCTGGGCCTGCTGCTGGAGACCTGCCCCCGCTCCAGGAGCGAGGCCCCCTGCTCTTCCAGCGCCCTGGCGGCCGCGAGCGTGACTCCCGCCCCCCGCTGGCCGACGGCCCGCCCGCGCCGCGCCCTCGGCTGGCTGACTGCCTCGCCCTCCGCTGGCTGACTGCCTCCGCCCTCCGCTGGCTGACTGCATCGCCCGCGCCGCGCGGCCCAGCTCCGATCTCTGCGTGGGCGGGCCCTGCCAGACGCGACCAATCGCCTGGGGGGGCCCACGGCGACCCCCGCCTCGGCGGCGCAGCGCAGCGGCGTGCTGGGCGGCCCGGTCGGCGCGCGGGCTGGCGCCGCCCCCATGACGCCGTGGAGCAGCGAAGCGCCTCTGGGCTGAGATGGCAGCCGCACCTCGGCAGCCGACTGGGCGCCTGGCCGGTGCCAGCGCGTAGTCCACACAGGCCGAATATAAGCCGCCATCGTTGCAAGTGGCTTTGCGCATGCTTCGCTGGATCGACTGAGATGAAACATACCTCGTTGATGGGTCCATTGTGTATAGGAAAAGACTGAAGTCGTAGGCAAGAGGTCAGCACTGTCAGCCCGATGAAAACGTCGAACCAGAAGGAACTTGACCTAAAGCCGCCTGAGCCAGAAAGCATCCCTTCGCCCCGTCCACTTCTGCACGCCTCCATTTCACATAGCCGGATGCATGGGTCCTTCGCCCAAAAACTTGGGGGCGACCCCAAAACCGCATGCTGCAGAAGAAACCCCGCCCGGCAAAACCGCATCGGCGCAACAACTTGCACCATCGCAGGCCCTTGAAGTGAAACAGCAAGGTGGGTCCACTCTGCTCTGCACAAGAAAAATATGCTCGCGCCGCGCATGCGCCCTGAGCGATGTAAGGAGGTCATGGGTTCGACTAGGAACTGCATGGGGATGGCTTGGGAGTGGTATGGGGAGTGCATGGGACCGAGTAGGACATGTATGAAGTGGTTTAGGGACTCCGTGGGAATGGTATGCTACGCAATAAAAACTTTGTGAAAAAAACTATGTGGCCAAATGGAAACCGAGTGCGCATTGTATATTACCTTACGGAACTTGTACAAGGAATATATGGGACAGGTATGTCACCTAACTGAGGAAAAAATACGGGAACCGTGTGCGACCAACTAAAACCTGTTTCGTGATCACATGGGAACTGCTCGTGACAGAAATGGGAGCTGTAAAATGACAAAATCAAACCTGCTAGGAATCGTATGTGACCCCACTCGAACTGTACAGGGACCGTGCGTGACCTAAACACTTGCCTACAACAGTGTACATGACCGAATGTGAACTCCATGGGGGTGCAACCTGACAAGATCGATACGTTAAATGATGTCAGGGGGGATTCATACGGGGCCCAATGTGGATAATGTGGGACCTGGTCGATCTGTATGAGGATAACAAGAAACGGTGTCTGGGAACTACCAGGAACTGTCTGGGGATGGTGTGTGGATTGCACAAGGCATGTTCAGGATGGCGCGCTGGATCGCACAAGGCGTACAATCGTGCGGAACCTTGAAAACCCTGCGGTATCCTGAGGCACGCTGGGGAGTCTTCGAATCCTGCTGGATCCAGAAAAACTTGAAGAACCCTCAAGAATCCTGAGCAAACCTGCGGGGTCATCAGAAGTCCTCATGGGCCGCTCGAATCCTGAAGAGTCCTGCGCATTCTGGGAAATTCTGAAGAACCCCGAGGAACCTTGAAGAATCCAGAAGAATCTGACGGGGTCCAAGGGAACTGTGCGGAATCCGGAAGAAACCGACGGAATCCTGAGGCACCGAGGAGAATGCCGCGGGACCCCGGCTGATGGGAACAGTCCTGGGATCCGGGCGGATTGGACCGCTGACGGCCCGCAGGAAACCAAAGGATTCCAGAAGAATCCCCAGGAACCGTGATTGATTCCTAGCTCAGGGCCCCTGCCCCTTCCAGGAACTTGACGCCCCCCCTCGGAAGGGAGAGGAGACCCGGGAGGTGAGGAGGCGGATCCCGGGGCACCCTTGGGACACTACGAGCGCGGAGGCGCAAACTTTCGCAGGCCTCCCCCTCGGGCCAGGTGCCCCAAATTTGCCCGAACCCCGCCGGGAGGGCCGCCCGCCGCAGGCAGGCCGCAGGGCAAGCGGGGGCCGCCTGAGCTGAGGGGGGGGGGGGGGGCCACCGCACCTCATTCCTTCTCTACGTTCATGAAGGCACAACCGCGCCCGCCCGCGCCGCCCGCGCGCGTGCGCGAGGGCAGCGAGAGCGCGGCACCGAGCTCGCCGATCCGCGTCAGCACGAGCCCGACCGCGCAGGGCAAGGAATGTCCAGGCGCACGCGGGCCCTGGGAACGGCTTCTCCAAGACGAAGACTATTGCCGAGAAAAGCCCAGGCTCCCCAAGCCCAACGCCATCTCGCCCACGTGGACGGTGCCGCCCCCGACCGGCTCCAGGCGCCAGGCTGCAACCCATGCCGCCCTCGCCACCAAGACCCAGGGTGCAGGTGCAGTCGCAGCGGATGCCACTCCAATCCACTTTGAAGCCGCCCCGCGTCTTGCCCTTCTTCACCGAGAGGCCGAAGACGCCGAGGAGGACGACCATGCAGAAGGCGGCTACAATCTCTCGCGACGCCCCGAGACGATCGCCCCCAGGTCGTCGGCGCAGGTTCCCTTGGAGAGCTAGGGGGGCTTCAGATACGAAGCCAGCATGCAGGGCTATGTCAGTTCCTACCCAGGGCCCCCGGGCGATTCCCGCAACGAGTTGACTGAGCTCGCAGCGAGTTCCGGCAAGCGTTTTCCGACTCGTTCCCGACGCGCGTGCCCGAAGCCTTCCCGCAGCGCTGCCGGAGCACCTTGGAAGCTCCTGCGAAGAGCCTCTCTGAAGCTTGCAAGCTCCCCACGCATGCCTTCTAGCGTCCTGGCATGCGTCTCCCACGAACATATTCCCAAGATTGCAAACTCCCCAGGCATGCTTCCCAGCGTCCTTGCAAGCGTCTCCCACAAGCGTTTTAAGCGCTTCGGACGGCGTCGCTATCCCGGTTTTGGATTGCACAAGCGAGCTGCCCCACGGGCCAGACACTGGCCAACAAGCAGAAGATCGCCCGCAACACGGCGCCGAACAGACTGGCCCACCACTCCGACGCGCTGGAGATGCCGAAGGTGCCGACGAAGTCGCCGTAGATTTTGAATTCGAAGTCACAGGACAGCATGTCCAACTCGTCATCGCGGATCGCAATGAGCCGACGCACGCCCATGATGTCGGCGACGAGCGAGAAGATGACTTCGCGCCGGCCGCTGCAGTCGGAGGTCGGGAGGTGAGGACCCAAGTGGAAAGGAAGGCCCCCCAAGAGGACATCGGCTTCGGTTTCGGATTCGCGTCGCGCACGCGGCCGGGGCGAAGCTGATTGGGCGGGCGAAGGGAATGACACCGCTGTGCTAAACCGGGTCAAGACAGAAGACGGCCTCTCTGGTGGGCCGGCGTGATTGGGGGTGCCCCGCCGTGGCGCCCCGCCGCGGTGTCCCGTCGGTGCCCGCGGGCTGCGGCCAGCGGCGTCCCGCCGCGGTGCCCCATCGGCGTGCCGTCGGTGTCCCGTGGGCGTCCCGTCGATGTCCCGTCGGCGCCCCGTCGGCGGTGTCCCGTCGGTGTCCCGTCGGTCCCCCGCCGGTGCCCCATCGGTCCCCCGTCGGTTCCCCCTCGGCGTCCCGTCGGTGACCCGTCGGCGAACCGCCCGCGCCCCGTCGGCGTTCTGTCCGCGCCCCGCCGTCGGCGTTCAGTCGGCGTTCTGTCGGTGCCCCGCCGGTGTCCCGATTGGTGTCCCGGGTGGTGCCCCGTGGTCGTCCCGATTGGTGTCCTGACGGTGCCCCAGTGGTGTTTCGATGGTGCTCGATGGTGTCTCGACAGTGTCCAGGTGGGGTCCCGATAGGTGCCCCGATTGGTGTTCCGATGGTGTCCTGTTGGTGTCCTGTTGCTGTAACGGTTGGCGTTTCGATTGGCGTCCCGATGGTGCCCCGGCGGTGTCCTGGCGCCCCGATGCGTCCCCGACGGTGCCCCGATGGCGCCCCGATGCCATGGCGGCGCCTCGATGGCGCCCCGATCGCATGGAGGTGGTGGATCGCTTACTTGGGGGGCGATGCCGAAGAGAATCGGAGACGCCCACCGGGTCACCCCCACCTGGCACGGGGCCGATAATGACATCAAAGGAACGAAACCGATAGTCACATCGGTCGAATGAGATTGGAAAACTGGAACCGATTAGCCGCATTCAACAGGGACACCGACCGCTCGGCCACGGGACCGAATGTGATATCGACAGAAGGAGATCGCCAGGACAACTCGCGAGCGCATCGCCAGCATCGCCACGCCACAATCACGATCGCAGTTGTCCTCAATTTGTCCCCACCCAACCTCCGCATCACCCGGAGGGTGGTCGCATGAGTAGCTCAATTTTTCTCCGCGGGCCTCGGCGCCCCCTGGCGGCCCCTTCCACCGCGTCGCAGCGACCTCGCGCGCGCCGCGCCATCGCGCGCGAATCGTTTCTTGCCGCTCGCGCTCGCCCAGACCGCCCACGCCGCCAGTGCGCAGTTCCCGTGGAAACAATATAGCCTAACTTCACCTCGTCCGGGAGGTGTTCTCGGAGCCAGTCGCCGCGGCCCTCCGCGCAGCTGTTGATGGCCGACTCTGGGGCGGCCAAGTTGGCCGCCCCCTTGTCGGGGCGCCACTTCGCGAGCCCCTCGAAGAGCGCTTCCCGCCAGGGCGTCGGGCGCAGGAAGCCCGCTGGGACCCCGGTCTCCAGCTTCTTCATCATGCCTGGTTCGGGGGCCCCTGCTTCGCGCGGGAGCGCGGCCAGCGGGCGGGGGCGGGCGGCCTGCCCCGCTGCGACGAACCCAAAGTCGTTGCCGCGGCCTGCTCGGCCTTCTGATCCAAGCCAGCCCTCGAGGACCCCATCTGGCTTCCTCGTAGACCTTCCCCCTGACGAAAACGGATGGCTCGCTCGGGCAGGCCCAGTCGGGCGCGCCTGCGCCGCCGCGGCGGCGGCAGCGGCCCCAGGCGCTCGCCGTTCGCACGGAACTGCGGGCGCCCGCCGCGGGGCCGCGAGTCGGCGGCCAGCCCTGCAGACCAACCGACGAGGCGCGTCGGCTTCGGACGCGGCGCGCCGAAACTGTCACAGCGGCGGGCCGCGGCACGCGCGCCGTCGAAGTCCAGGAGTCCGCCCACCACTGGCAGCTGCCACGTGCCGGCAGGGCCCCACCCGCGAATGTCGCCCGCCTGGGCGGCGCCGAGGTCATCGGGCTGCTCTGGGAGGCCAGCTGCCTGCCCGCTGCTCGCCAACTGCACTCGTAGCGCTCGAAGGGCGATGTCGGCGAGCATGGTTGGACACCTGGCACTTCAGCCTCTCCCAGCCCTCCAGCCAAGGGAATCCCCGCGGGCGCTGCGCCGACCGCAGCCGGAGCGAGCAACGGCGGTTTGTCCGCGCCGCCCTCGACGAGAGATTGCAGGGCGGCGAGGCCACGAGCACTTCCCACACGCCCGCCGC